GAATGGGGAAGACACAAAGGTCAAAAACATGGAAAATTGAGGGAGTGGAGTGGGAGAGTCAGAGCATAAGTATGAAGAAAGGAAGAGAAGGAAAATCCCGGGCAGCAAAAGGGATGAAGCCTGGAGGGGGAGGTTAGCGTAGCAAGAAGAAAAGAAGTGCGCAGATCCAGGGCACCAAACAAAGAGTGAGAAAAGGGTTCCTTGCAGTGAAAAGAGGAAATGCAACAATGGACAAGCAGCCCAGAAATAAAATAGCTGGTCTGGAGCAGCACTAAAGGAGACATTGCAGAGAGATCAGGGGATGTTCATGAAATCCAGAAACAGCCCCAAATTATTAGACTCAAGGCATCTTAGGAAATGGTAGTGTTTGGGCCAGATTGCACTCTCAGTTTGAGCTAGGTGAACGTAACGGATATTTCGATTTGCTGGTAATTTGGAGAAAGTGGGGAAGAAAAAACTTCAGTTTGGATTGAACTGAAAATGAGATTTTTCAAAAACGTTCAGCATATCAGAAAATTGAAACATTTTTCAAGTCAGAAATAAATGTTTTGCTTCCATCTAACTCAAAAAATGTTGTTTTGATTTCAGATATTTTGACCAAAGTCCAGGAGGACTAGATGTGCAAGAAACTGGAGGAGCAGGTTCTCCACGTCAGGCAGAGGGGGGGAATTAACCCCAAGTCTCCAACCCCCACTGGAGTACCCTAAGCACTGGGCTAAAGGCAGCTGCTACTGCCCCTCTCCGCCACCCCCAGTTCTGTGAATGAAGTCATCCTTGGCTTTTGTCAAAATGCATAAAATTGAAATGAACTGTTTCAAGTCTTGCCAAAATGAACTGTTTTGTTTTAGCATCACCGAACCATTTCACTCTTTTTTCAGTTCAGTCAAAACTATTCGGTGAACTCGACAAATTCACAAATAGTGTCAGGGTGACCCAAACTGCTTATTTTCATGGCTGAAATATTCACAGAGAAAAATTTGCCCAGATCAGCTCTCAGTCATACTTGCACGAAGTTAGAGTAACCCCAGTGAAGTCAATGCTAACAGGCATCATGATCTGGCCCAATTTTGTGAGATTTACCAGCTGGAAGATGAGGAGTAGAGGCCGAGCCATGCTAAAGATGGCAGAGCTTTTCAGTGGCTAACTACAACAAGGTCTGTCTTGGTGCCCTAACATACCACTATATGACACTCTATAGCAGGGGTCGGCAACCTTTCAGAAGTGGTGTGCCGAGTCTTCATTTATTCACTCTGATTTAAGGTTTCGCGTGCCAGTAATACATTTTAACGTTTTTAGAAGGTCTCTTTCTATAAGTCTATAATATATAACTAAACTATTGTATGTAAAGTAAACAAGGTTTTCAAAATGTTTAAGAAGCGTCATTTAAAATTAAATTAAAATGCTGATCTTACACCACCAGCCTGCTCAGCTCGCTGCCAGCCTGGGGTTCTGTTCACCTAGGCCAGCAGAGGGCTGATCAGGGCCTGCGGCTGGGACCCCAGACCTGGGGGGGGGGGTGGTTTCAGGGGTCAGGGTAGAGGGCTGGAGGAGGGGGTTCAGGGGCAGAAGGCTGGGGTGTGTGGGGTGGCGTTTAGAGAGTCGAGGGGCAGGAGGGCT